GGGGGTGGTTGAGGGGGTGGGTGAGGGGATGAGTGACGGGGTGAGTGAGGGGATGGGTGAGGGGTTGAGTGAGGAGGTGGGTGACGGGGTGAGTGAGGGGTGAGGGGTGAATGAGGCCTGCCACCTTCCCTGCTTCCCCTGTGTGAGTGTCTTCTCCACCGGGAGGTAGGTGCACGGGCAGAGGGCAGGGCAGGTGCCATGTGCCCTTGGTTCTGTGCTAGACTGCCACTCAGGACCTAAAGAAGACCTGAGCCCAGCCCTACAGTAAAGTGACTGTCAGCACCTTCCACCTCTTCAAATGAAAAGCTGAGCTCAGGACCACGGCCCCAGCCCTGGGCCACCCCAGAGGATAAGGATGGTGGCTTCTGGACTTGCAAATGGTTTGGAAACTGTAAGCACTCTAAACAGAGATGTGGTCACCCAAATCTAAGCCCCCGTCCAAAATTCAGGAGAGAAGACACAAGAGCACCCTTGATCTCTGGGCTCGTCCCTCCTCCTGGGTCCCACTGGCTGGTGAGTGCCTGGTGGCCACACCACGGTGCTGGACCGCAGCCCTGCAGATGCTCCAAGTCCACACTCCGCGGCTGCCAGAGCTCACTAACGCCACCCGCTTTACTCCCACCTGCAGAGTCTCCAGCTCACGGGTGGCACAAAGCATAGGGCCTTATCAGCTTCCTGAGCATGCCTGACCTCAGGGGGTGTCCCTCGGACCCAAGACTGAAGGTGTCTACAAGCCATCAAAATCCAAACCAGCAGCTCCTTGGACAGAGCTAGAGGGGGCTGGGCACATCCCAACCCCTGACCCCACCTCCTTCCCTCTCCGTGCCCCCAGAGACACAGGGAGTACTGTTCTGAAGGTAGAGAGTGTGTCCTAGTTAGAAGTATCAAGAGGGAGAATCCGGACGCACTTACCTATACAGCGCAAAGAAACCACTGCTTTTGAAAAACAGGCATCACTACAAAAGAACAGGGGAAATTCTGGTCAGGATAGTGAGTGAGGGGTCACCTGCCTCTCACATGCTTGGAAATCAGTCATTTCTTCCAAATTCCCTCTCCTGTCTTCTGAGACGTAGAAGGGTCTGCTACTTACAACTCCAATAAGGTAAGTAAATCCATAGAGGGACAGTGCCAAACACCAGACACTGAGCCAAGGTACGTGGCTCACATCCCTGCTGTGTGACCTTGAGCAAGTTACTTAACCTCTCTTAAAACTGTACCAACTCCTAGGGCGGTTCTGAGGGTCAGCATACAATAACGCTAGTTTTCATTCTTCCTCCTAGAATTGAAAATCATCTTCTAATTTTGTAAGGAAGTCACTTGGAAACTTCTGGGCTCATATGACTGCTTTACATTTGGAGTGTTGAAAGCAATATAACCAATAATTTGCCTGGGATTAGAGGAAACGTAAGTTTCTCATTTGGGAGCCAAACATCCCAGATCATGGATGAAGAGGAAGTAACGGATGCATTCCGTCCCGCTGTGACTTTCCCGGGATCTGCTGAGAAGGAAAGACGCAGCCCCCGACACGCAGAGCTGGCCCGGGCCTGACGGCTGGGCCGTGCGCTCTGCAGAACGTGAACAATTTCACTGAGCACCGCATCAGACTAGGCCACTCCACGGCCCAGATGGGGCAAGACACCAGGAGCCTCCTCTGAAATGGAAACCTTGTCAGAACCACAAAACCATGACCTGACATCTATCTCCTCCCATCCTGGCTAACTGGAGCGACGGACCTGTCTTTACCAATCACAGCTTTAGCCTAGCCACATTCCAACCTCTTCCTAGAAAAAAACATCATAAAGCAGCCATCACAGAACTACCCCTGCTTCCCAAGAGCATCCAGAAATCCCTGCTTCCTCCAACTGCCCCAAACCACATCGCAGGAGCCCCAGCCTGGCAATAATAGGTCCTTCCTCACACCCTCTTATTGAGGCTCACCCCCCAGGTTCCCAGTGACAGCAGGTGCATTCCAGGTGGACTCTGGCTCTGGGGCACTGACATGGCCAAGCAAAGACATATTCCCTTTAAGAGAAGACATTTTCTAAGAATCCTAAGGTCAGTAGAGACAGCCCTGTGTGGCCATAGCACCAGGGCACATGTGGTTATTCACAGAAGCCTGACAGGAAGCAAGCCAAGAACTCAGGCATCAAAGGGCAACTCCTGCCCAAAGAGAGGAAAAGAAGTGCCCCCGCCCCCACCGCCACCACGGAGACAGAAGAGAGCCCATCGGACAATGGCCTTCTCTTCTTTCTTCCAAGCCCTCCAGCCAGCTTGTGAGTTCCCAGTGCTCTTGCCAAGGGATGGCGGCACATCCTCCCCTCCCCCTGCCCCTGCCTGGCTGGACTTGGTGCCCTGCCTGCATGTGTAACCCAGGAAGACAAAGAACCACTCAGCATTTACAAAGTGCCCAGGCAGCTGTGTTTAGTTTCTCCACAGAGACAAACCGCAGCCCTGCCATTGTTATGGGTACACCTGGCCGTGCACGGCCCTCCCCACTGGGAGTGCCTCGCCACATTCCCCAGGACAGCAGGCTGCAGTGGAAGTCAGGCCCCCAGACACCTCTGCCAGCGGCCCCCGGGAATGCAAACCTGCCCCAGCCTCCCACTCAGAGGAAAGGTGGCACGGGGTGATTAGTGCATCCTCCCTGAAATGCAGCACCTGGCACCTGGAGGGCAGGGAGGTGACACCTAGACACCAGGGATGAGCCCTGTGGACCTGGGAGGCAAGGAGAACCCATGGGCAAAGGACGTTGTATATCTTTCACATCAGAAAACCCTCATAACAGCAACAATCATAGCCAGACTGCAAACGTCTTACCTATGTGCAAAGCAAAAGGAGTAGCCTAAGCCCATCCCGTCTTCATCATTCATCACGTGACCTGCGGCTTGTGCCCACTTCCTGGACACACCATGACTCGTTCCCAGGTCGCCAGAATGCTGCCCACCCCTGGCAGAGCACCCTCTGACACTGCTGTCCCAGGGCTGGGGCTAAGGGGACCAGGCAGCCCCGCTGCCTGGAACAGAGCAGGACTTTCCTTGCTGAAGCCAGTGAAGTCCCTGGCAAACTGGGATGAGTCAGTCACCCTAGCTGGGACACTGAGATATTATCTTGGATTCCTAGAACCACACCCTGACACAATAGGTACATCTCTAAATGTCTGAAGAGCAAAGGGAAATAGAGTTGAATGTCCATGTGGCCATGTTATCTGCTAACAACGAGGGCAGATGGTAGAGGCTGAAAATTCAATAGCGGAGAAACCTCAGCCACTTCCCGCCAGTCCTGGTCAGACTTGAATTCCCTCCCCATGCAAAACACATCCAGACGGAGTGCTGCAGCTTAGAGAAATCAGACTCAGGACAGCGGTTCCCCATGGTGTCTCCTAGTCAATTTCATTCCAAAATTTTTCAAAGAAGAGACCACCTCATACCTGTGGTAGAGTTTTTTGTAGATATCAACTTTGCCGGCACTCATGTTCAGTTTCATAAAGCTTGTGGCCCCGCTGTCATCCACTATTCCTTGGCTAGAGTAAAAACTGTTCCTAAAAGAGACAGAAAACTTTATCTATGGTAATGGTTAAGGCATAAACAAATACAAATCATACACTATGTCATAATACCTCTCCTACAACCCTCAGAATAAGAGGGGAAAACCTTAGCATTTGGTGGGGGGGAAATCACAAGTTCTAGCCAAGTGCTACAATATTGTAATGATTTTTCAATTTAATAACCCTAAAGTATCAGGTACGATTCCTCTACTCATCGTTTTTCTAACCTAGGTGAAGATCAAGAAACGATGAGAAGGTCATAGGAATATGTAGTTGTACATACATTTAATATAATACAAGGTACCGATGTTAATCTGTCCCCAGTTACCAATTCCACAGGTTCCTGGGCTAAGATAGGGACTTTGCTGTGTCATTCACCCCTGCTGTTTCAGGATGGCATAGCTAAGACACCAACTTTCTCATCAAGTGGTAATTCATTCTGAAAACTGGCATGTTGAATACCCTAAAATTGCGTAGAAATCACCTGGGGGCCTTCCCATAGAAAACAAAGTGGCAGCAGAATCCTGCCAGCCTCTCCCCCAATGCCTGAGGCCTGCCCAGCTCCCCAGGCAGTGCTGATAGGTGATCACCACCACCCTCCGCCCCAGCTAGGAATCACTGACAGGGCACACACATCCCCTTAAGCCTTCCCACTTTCCCTCAGAGCTGCAAGCAGGAACAACATTTTTAAAGTATACACCTGATTGACTGATTCTCTCCCCAGCTCAAAACCCTTCCATGGCTCCCGAATGCAGTGAAACTGGCTCAGGAGTCGTCTCTGCTGAGCTCCCCAACCCAACCCTCCTTGCCGGCTGCCCTGGGCCAACCTCTACCCAGGGAGGTGAATGGACCCTGGCTGAGAGGCACCTTGGAAAAAGAGGCACCTCATACCCTCAGCCTGCACCCCTGACCCAGTGACACAGCACCGGGCACTCCTGAGCAACCAGAGGCCGAGGAGGAAGCAGGGCAGGGCGGCAGTGAGCCGAGGGCCCTATGCTGGGCACAGTCCTAGCTGGATAAGTTCCACCTGCTGGCTACAGGACTTAGATTTTGGAAGGTGACAATTGTCCCCAGCACTCACGTGCCGGCGCTTCCACAGGGAGGCAGAGAGAGCGCGTTCTCGTCTTTCTGCTGTCTGTCCCTGTCACTGGTGACGCTGCCCGGTACTCACTTGTAGCCCATGTCCCTGCAGGCCGCCCGCCCGTAGTTCTCGTTCCAGTCATCTTGGCACACAGGGTGCCAGGACCTCCTCTGAGATGAGTACACCTGAAGGATGAAGTTTGGTCCGTAGAGGCGAACTGCACGAGAGGGGGAGCCTCCGTGAGTTTCATACAGTTGTCCCAACTCGGTCCTAGCTGCTACCCGAGCCCCGCGCTCCCCCACGGCTCTGGGGGTGGCAGCACAGAGTTGGCTCCTCTCAAGGTACTGATTGCACACAAAGGGAGACCACGGATCTATTCTTTTTCTGCTAAAAAGTGCTCTCTACACAAAAGAATCGAAAACAGGCATTGGGTTAAAAACTTGTACAAAAGTTCACTGCAGCCCTCTTAAAACAGCTTAAAAAGGTGAAAACACTCCAAGCGCCCCCAACGGCTGGGTGAGCAGAATAGGATATGTCCAAGTATACAATGGAATATGATCCAGCCAGAAGAGGGAATGACATTCACACACAGGCTGCCCGTGAGTCCTGAAGCCATTACGCTCAGTGAAAGGAGCCAGACACATTGCATGATCCCTGCCATATGAAATCCTGCTTATACTGCAGGGGTCCACATATTGCATGATCCCAGAGTAGGAAATGGAATGCCTAGGTTAGGAAATCTATAGAAGCAAAGTAGATGAGTGGATGCTTAGGAGGGATGGGCTGGGAGGAGGGATATGGGTGATAGTTCAAGGGTCTGGGGTTTATTTATGAGCTGAAGAAAATATCCTAAAATTGGCTGTGGTGATAGTTGCACATATTTGTGAATATATAAAAGCCAGGTGAATTATATATTTAAATTTTATGATACATAAATTACATTTCTATAAGCTGTTTTATATGAAAAATTGTATCTCAACAAGCTATTATATATATGTTTTATATATAAAAAGCACTGAATTATACACTTGAATTTTATGGCACATAAATTATATCTCAGTAAACTGTTTTTAAAAATAAATAAGATAGGTAAGGCATGGTAGCTCACACCTGTAATCCCATCACTTTGGGAGGCCGAGGTGGGCAGATCACCTGAAGTCAGGAGTGGGCAAATCACCAGCCTGCCCAACATGGTGGAACCCCTCTCTACTAAAATGCAAAAATTATCCCCATGTGGTGGCACACCACCTGTAATCCCAGCTACTCAGGAGGCTGAGGCAGAATTGCTTGAACCTGGGAGGTGGAGGTTGCAGTGAGCTGAGATTGCATTGCTGTACTCCAGCCTGGGTGACAGAGCAAAACTCTGTCTCAATAAATGAACGAACAAATAAATAATCAATAAGATAAAAGGATTTTTTAAAGTGTTCTTTAAGAGACCACTTTGAGCAACAAATTGTCCAGGAGACTCGAAATTAATCATTATTCTGCTAAAATGATCTCAGCTCTTTTATTTCAAGAAACAAAACATTATAAACAACATTGACATCACTCCCTATTCCCAATCCCTTCTCTCCCTCCCTAGAAGTAACCACCATCTAGAGTTTTGGGGAACTTTTGGCTGGGCAGGATAATACATGGGTTGGACGTATCCACAGAACAGAATCCCATGCAGCTCACGCATCATGAGCAGGAAGAAGCTTGAAAACATGCTGCAGGAAAGAGAGTAAGTGCTAAATGATGCATTCTGTATGACGTCATTCATGCAAAGCAGAAAAGCATGGAAACAGTGCTGTGTGGTTTGGGGGAAATATACAAGGGCTTAAAGTATAAAGTGAGGACCTGGCTATGCCCTGGCCTCTCTTCTTACTTCCTGCTGCCAGTCTGACTCACTGGACAGTCTGGTACCTGTGGGCTTGTTCCCCCATGAAATGACTTGGGTCTGATTATTTTCTAATGCCTCGGTGGTGAGTGCTTCCACATCCTACCTGTGAGTTGGTTGCAGGTTACACTTACACGAATGGATAAACATGGTGCTACATCTGGACAATGGAATATTATTCAGTGTTAAAAAGAAATGAGCTATTGACCGGGCACGGTGGCTCATGCCTGTAATCCCAGCACTTTAAGAAGCCTAGGCAGGAGGATCACAAGGTCAGGAGTGCGAGACCAGCCAGGCCAATACGGTGAAACTCAGTCTCTACTAAGAATACAAAAAAAAAAAAAAAAAACAATTAGCTGGGCATGGTGGCACATGCTTGTAATCCCAGCTACTCAGGAGGCTGAGGCAGGAGAATTGCTTGAGCCCAGGAAGTGGGGGTTGCAATGAGCCAAGATCACGCCACTACACTCCAGCCTGGGCGACAAAGCAAGACTCCGTCTCAAAAAAAAAAAAAAAAAGAAAAAGAAAAGAGCTATCAAGCCATGAAAAGACATGTAGGAAGCTTGAGTGCATATTACTAAGTGATGGAGGTCAGCTAAGTGAAGGAACGTGTGTGCAGTGAAGGCTACATACTCCATTGTTCCAACACGACAACCTTCTGAGGAGGCCAGAACTCCGGAGACACTAACAAGCTCAGTGATAGCGGGGTGAGTGGGGAGAGAGAAACAGGTGCCATGCAAGAGATTTTAGGGCTGGAGAACGACTCTGGATGTTACTATCATGGTGGCCGTACAGCATTATGCATTTGTCAAATCCCACAGAACGGGACGAGAGAAGGGGTGAAGTCCAGGACTGTGGTTCATCATGATGTACTCGTCTGGCTCATCAGTGTTAATGAGCGTTCTGCAGTGATGTGAGACGTCAATCACAGGGCAGCCATGTGCTGGGGAGGAGTACTCGGAGCTCGCCACGCTGTCTGCTTCATTTCCTGTCAACCTAAAACTGCCCTAAAAAATAGTCTGTTCGCTTTTTTAAAAGTAACTGAAATGAAATACACTTCTATGTTTAAAAACAAAACTGCCACTGTGGCTCAGTAAAGAGTAAGGGAGACACTTCCTTCTTGGTTTGTGGGTAATTTTAGGGACTGTCTTTCCCTTGCGGCTATCTACATTCAAATGTTATCAGGAAGGATGGCAGCTGATAAGCCAGGGCGCTGGAAAATGTCTCAGGCTGGTCCTTTCCTGGTGCTGTGGCTCTTGCCTGTCATCTCAGCATTTTGGAAAGGGGAGGCAGGAGGATCACTTGAGCTCAGAGTTCGAGACCAGCCTGGGCTACATGGCAAAACCCCATCTCTATCAAAAAAAAAAAAAAAAAAGTTAGCCTGGCATGGTGGTACACGCCTGTAAGCCCCAGCTTTTCAGGAGGCTGATGGTAAAGGATGGATTGAGCCCAGGAGGTGGAGGCTGCAGTGAGCCATGATCGAGCCACTGCACTCCAGACTAGGCAACAGAAGGAGATCTTGTCTCAGACAAAAGCAATTGTACATGTTTTAGGCATACAGCGTGATGAATTGACATCTGCTGTGAAATTCTCACCATAATAAAGCTCATTAACCTCACATAATTACCATTTTCTTTTCTCTTTTATGGTGAGAATGCTTAAAATCTGCTCTTCTAGCAATTTCCAAGTATATAGGGCAGTATTGTTAACTAGAGTGAACAACTTAGTTTTTCTTCTGAGATTTTGAGAAAGATTCACAGAAAGGGCAGCATCAGAAGTGGAAAGTGAATTAATGTTAAAATATGCACACACATACAGCCTCGGGAAGAAAGCTCTACACACATTTTTGAATGTTTTCCATGGAATGGGTAGTATTCTTCAGTCTCATAACGTGCGCATCTCAGCAAAAACAATGTCCACTCTACGAAATGGACAAATTAAAAGCACGCCATATGCCTGTTCTGGTCTAATGTAGAATACATGCACAACGTTACATTCGTCTGTTTCACTTTACAAGAATAATCGACATGGAAACTGGATAAAAGCAAACTGAAGGTGGTCTCGGTCTGTCAAGTTACAGATCCACACACCCCCTGACCCAGCAGTTCTACTCCTGGAGGCGTCTCCTGCTGATAAGCTCACACAGTTGGAGCAGTGCGTGTTGTAGCAAAAGATGGAAAAAAAATAAGGTCCAAAAGAAGAGACTGGGGCAATAATGGTGCATCCATGCAAAGGACCAACTGGGCCATGGTGGGAAAACACAGAGGCTCATTTCCCTAAGAAATGCTGTCCAGGATGGTATGCAGTGCAGGAGAGTGAGCTGGCTAGGAACCTCTGGGAAATAGAGCCATGACAACGCAGACGTATGTGTGCTTCTTTATGCAAAAACTCTCTGGGAAGAGAAGCAACTCATATGACTTATAAGTCACCCCAAGAAATGTGATTGGCTGGTAAACAGATGAGCTCGTGTGTGTGTGTGTGTGTGTGTGTGTGTGTATCTGGGGTGTGTGGCAGGGGTGGAAGATAGATAAGTAAGCAGAGCAAGGAAGATGAGATTTTTCACCACATACCCTTTTGTACTTCCTTGATTTTGACCTATCTGGATGTATAACTATTAAAGTATTTAAATAAATACAACTTAAGTGTTAAGAAGAGAGAGACTGTTCAGGTAACATAAGGACTTTGCTGGTGTTTATTTGCCCACATGTGCACATAGGAGAACATCAAAAGCCATTCCGGGCCAGGCGCAGTGGCTCACGCCTGTAATCCCAGCAGTTTGGGAGGCCGAGGCGGGCGGATTGCTTGAGGTCAGGAGTTCGAGACCAGCCTGGGCAATATCAAAGAAACCCCATTTCTACAAAAAATACAAAAATTAGCCAGGCATGGTGGCGAGCACCTGTAGTCCCAGCTACTTGGGGGGCTGAGGCTGGGAGGTTGCTTGAGCCCAGGAGGCTGAAGTTTTGGTGAGCCATGATCATACCACTGCCCTCCAGCCTAAGCAACAGAGTGAAACTCTGTGTCCCCTCCCTCTGCCAAAAAAAAAAAAGAAGCCATTCATGTGCTACCTTAACCAGGCACTACTCAACCTCAAAAACTTCCCACTTTATTTAAGAAACTAAATAAAGCACAAGAACTGTTTAATGAGAAAATGCGTCATTTTCAAGTGCAGACCCTCTCCTGGGGGGCAAGGCCGTGCTTAAAGGCATCAAGAACACAAGACACTCGAGCCAGCTTAAGGCGGGCACAAGGGCCGAGCTCCACAGGCCAAGTGCTCCTCACCAGGAAATTCCACAGCCAGGACCAGGCAGCCAGGACTGACAGTGAGGGCCTAACGGGAAACCCGTCCCCACCAAGGATGGCCCTTAGCTGAGGAGAAATTACTTTAACACGGAAAGCTCTTTTTCTAGAATTCTCGGCCAGCTCTGAGGCTCGTGGTTTCTACAGAAAACCCCAGCAGGTTAGGAGGTCACTTGAGGGAGGGAAGAACTGTCTGAGATTTCTGGTGAGTCCCCTGACTCTACAGTTCTGAAATTTCTATTTCTAGAAAAAAAAAAAAAAAAATAAAAAAAAAAAAAAAAAAAAAAAAAAACGGTTCTAGTGTAAACATGTGAGAGTGTGCTGAGCGGGAAGTAAGATGTGAGAGGGCACACCGCCACCAACGCTGATCTGCAGGCCTGGAGTACATGGCTGTGGTTGGGAAATAAGGTTTTGTTGTTGTTGTTGTTTTTCTGTTTATGTTTTCTTTTTGCTTTTTTTTTTTTTTTTTGAGATGGGATTCTTTTTTTTTTCCTTTGGCTGGGGTGCAGTAGCACGATCTCAGCTCATTGCAACCTCTGTCTCCTGGGTTCAAGCAATTCTCCTGTCTCAGCCTCCTGAGTAGCTGGGATTACAGGCGCGTGCCACCACGCCCAGCTCATTTTTGTATTTTTAGTAGAGATGGGGTTTTGCCATGTTGGTCAGGTGGGTCTCGAACACCTGACCTTGTGATCCCATAGTGCTGGGATTACAGAAGTGAGTCATTGCTCCCGGCTGGGAAATAAGTCTTAAAGGAAAAGGAAAAAAGTAAAAGGCAGCTCTTAAGGAGAAACAAGCCAGCTCCATGTCAACTACGGAGCCCAGTTCCGTACGCAGCGGGCGGGATGGGGATGATTAGCACATCTCTTATCCTCGGCCACCATTTCCCTGTTACAGCCACTAACCACCCTTGAAATCACCCTCAAAGATTAATGAAAAATAGAAACAAAACTGCCAATGAAAACCACAATGGAGTGTCCTCTCATGCTTCTTAGAATGGCTGCCACCAAAAAGATGGAAACGAACAGGTGCTGGTGAGGAGGCAGAGGGAGCAATGGAGCCCTTGTGCCCTCGGGGGAGGAGTGGACATTGGTCAGGCCATTATGGAAAACAGTATGGAGTTTCCTCTGAAAATTAGAAACAGAACTGTCAGATGATCCAACAATCCCACTTCTGGGTTTATATCCAAAAGAAAGGAAATCTGCGTGTTGAAGAAAGGCCTGCACCCCCATGCTCACTGCAACACGGTTCACAACAGCCAAGAAATGACGTCGACCTCAGGGCCCGTCAGTGAAAGAAAGGAGAAAGAAAATGTGGTGTACATGCACAATGCAATACTATTCAGCCATAAGAAAGGAAATCCTGACATTTGGTGACAAATGAAACTGGAGGACATTGCTCTAAGTGAACAAGCCAGAGACAGAGACACGAACACTGCATGAGGTCACTGAGATGTGAAATGTAAAAACATCAAACTCATACAAGCAGAGAGTAGAATGGCAGCTACCAGAGGCTGGGGGGGTGACAACATGGTCAGAGGTCACAAACCCTTCATTAAACAGGAGGAGTAAGTTTGAGAGATCTGTTGTACATCACAGTGGCTAAGTTAATAACTATACGTTGCGTATTTGAAAATCACTACAAGGGTAGGTTTTATGTGTTCTTAATAAGACGTGTATGTGAGCTAATGCCCGTGTTCTAGCTTGACTTAGCCATGCCACAGACATACATGTATCCAAACGTGGTACGCCATAAATATGTGCAATGCTTCCTTGATCGTTAAAATAAACAGATAAACCACAGAAAATAAAATAGGTGAGCCCACTCTGTAACAAGAGATAGACCTTTAAAGGCAGCTTATTTTGAAAACAACATAGTGCATCTCCAACTCTACTTTATTTTGTTTATTTATTTTTGAGACAGAGTCTGGCTCTGTCGCCCAGGCTGGAGTGCAGTGCCACAATCTCAGCTCACTGAAACCTCCACCTGCCAGAATCAAGTGATTCTCCTGCCTCAGCCTCCTGAGTAGGCTGGGATTACCACCACCTGGCTAATGTTTTTTGTTTTGTTTTGTTTTTGTATTTTTAGTAGAGACAAGGTTTCACCATGTTGGTCAGGCTGGTCTGGAATTCCTGACCTCAGGTGATCCACCCGCCTGGGCCTCTCAAAGAGCCGGGATTACAGGCGTGAGCCACCGTGCCCAGCCTGCATCTTCAACTTTATAAACAGTTTGCTCATCTTAACCGACATCCTGTGGCAGTTCAGAGTACACGTGGCTCCAATGACGCAGTCTTCAGTGACCCTGTTCTCTCCCTCCCACCTGCTGTGTGAGGTGGGGCTGGAAACACAACCTCTCTGAGCCTCAGGGCTCAGCCTGGAACAGGGATTCAATGACATTGTGTATCAGCATGCTGGACGCAGGCCAGGCCCAGTCACCCAAAGGGCCCCAGACCGGGCTGCTGTCTATAAGGTAGGCAGAGCAGTTCCTTCCCAAGGCCAAGAGTGACTCACCACACCGGTTCTCGTCCTCCCCGCTGGGGCAGTGGGACACGCCGTCGCACCAGTTAGAGGGGCTGACGCAGGTGCCTGAGGAGCCGCACTCTATCTCAGAGACGGAGCACTTGCTCTCCACTTGCAGAGAAAACAGAAGGGAGGTGCCCGTCAGGCTGAGGAACCAAATCAGCCTCACGGAGTGAGGAACACGGTGGCATGATTGCAGCTCTCTGCGACCTCCAACTCCTGGCCCCACCTTTTTTTTTTTTTTTTTTTTTGAGACAAAGTCTCACTCTGTCACCCAGGCTGGAGTACAGGGGCGCGATCTTGGCTCACTGCAACCTCCACCTCCTGAGTTCAGATGATTCTCCTGCCTCAGCCTCTCAATTAGCTGGGATTACAGGCGTGCGTCACCATGCCTGGCTAAGTTTTTGTATTTTTAGTAGAGATGGTATTTTGACATGGTGGCCAGGCTGATCTTGAACTCCTGACCTCAGGTGGTCCACCTGCCTTGGCCTCTTAAAGTGCTGGGATTACAGGCATGAGCCACCGTACCCAGCCAATACCCCACTTTAATCAGGAGGAGAAGTGTCCTCGCCACCAGCAAGTATAAGTAAAATTAGCGGTGGGGCACCTTACGTTCGTGGGGCCAGTGGGGAGACCCTCTCCATGTGTGGGTTTGGACAGCACTCACACGTCCTCTCTGCCACACTTCAAGGTAACTTTAAGGATCCACAATGATGCATGGGTCTGCACCACCCAGGCTGATGGGAAAGGCTCAGGCTGCAGCTGCAGGAGTGGGACAGGGAGGGGCGGGCCTGGCCCCCAACAGCCATTGCTATGCAGTGAGATACAGGTAACCATGTATGGCCCCAAGGTAGAAGAACCTGTGCTCACAGTGCTGGGCGGCACCAAGCACCCCAAAGCGCTGGGCACATTCTACATGCTTCTCCCATGATGTGTCAATACCATAGCTAAACAAGAGAAGGGAAGAGAGACAGCCTCGTTATGTAAGAGAGAAACCTCACAGCGGGCCTCGGGAGGTCTCAATAGCCCAAAGCGCAGGGTCTGGCTCAGCGCACCAGGGACTGACAGAGCACATGGTGGAAGCGAGGCTCCTTGCACTTACTGAACTTCCAGACCAGGCCAGCGGCCAGCGCAGCTCCTGCGAGGACGGTCCCCAGGGCCAAGGTGATACACAGCACTTTCTTAGTCTCTGGAAGAAGGAGAGAGCGCACCATTCAGACCAGAGTTGTTTAGAAGTCATGCTCTCAAATGTTTTCTGTTATTTTTATAGAACATCATATTAAGAAATAATTATTTCATATGCACTTAAAAGTGTGACTTTTAATTTTAAGAAATATCATGGGTGATCCTACTTCTCCCATAACACTAAACCTTACCTTATGCTTTTTGAAGACCAACAGGAGGAAGCTGTGATCTTCAGCAAAGTACACGGTTAGCCCTTTCAAAAAGTATCGTGTGCTTGGCCGGGCGTGGTGACCAGTTACATGTCTGTAACCCTAACACTTTGGGAGGCTGAGGTGCGTGGATCACCTGAGGTCAAGAGTTCGAGACCAGCCTGGCCAACATGGTGAAACCCTGTCTCTACTAAAAATACAAAAATTAGCCGGGTGTAGTAGTGGGTGCCTGTAATCCCAGCTACTTGGGAGGCTGAGGTAGGAGAATCACTTGAACCAAGGAGAAAAATGTTGCAGTGAGCCAAGATGATACCACTGCATTCCAGCCCAGGTGACAGAGCAAAAACTCTGTCTCAAAAAAAAAAAAAGTATGGTATGCTAAAAGAGGGTCTTAAAATAGGCAGACGATTAGTGTAAAAAACAGGGGGACTAAGACATCATCTTCGTAATTACAGGCATAAGCAAAGTAATAACACTGTCCCCAAAACTATCATCACTGTCAGTGGTACTCAAAGCAGAATAAATTGTCTTGCCCAAGGCTGTTCAGCGAATAGATGCTACAAACAAGCCCACAGTGTCCCATTCAGACAGCTGCCAGCTGCGTGTGGCTATTTAATTAACGTTCCATGAAATTAAGTAAAATGACGTAAATTTAAGTGCTCAGCCACCACATGTGGCCAGTGGCTACCATGTCAGACAGTGCAGCTGCAGAAGCTTCCCATAGCTGTCCCAAGTCCTGCTGGACAGTGCCAGTGCAGCCCTTTGGTCCAAGGGCAGAAATATGAAACTCAAAGGAAAGGCAGATTTCAGAAAAAAATAAAGGGATTTGGAAAAGGTCCCTGATTGTCTCTAGCCAGACATAGCATTGTCGGTCCAAGGGTAAGCCAAAAGTCACACAGAGTTCAGACGATAGCAACAGGCGCCGCAGAGGCATGGCAGAGTCAGACGCTGCACTCCGCCAGCTCATGGGCTAGGAGCAAGGGCGTCCATCCTTATCACTCCAGTGATGCCCAGCAGCCCCAGGTCCAGGAGCTCCCAGGAGCTTTCCCTCAAGAAAGGTGGAGAGGTGGAGGAGAGGGGAGGGGAAAGCATTTGAACAGACCATCCCAGGCTGGAGAGGTGGCGTGACAGCCGGGAGCTCCCTACCTGGCCACACCTGTGCCTCTGGAGGTCTGCCAGGGTGAGAAGATCAGAGCTGACCCATCTGCTGATGGCTCAACGCCGCACCTCTTACTTGGTGACAACATTCTGATAATTCTACAATCACTCTCAAACCATTACAGGCTTAAAAATTACCTGGGGAATGTGGTGGTTCGCATCACCAGAGATTCTATTTCAGTTAGGGGTCAGGCATGAATCTGCATTGCTCTTGTTTTCTTTCTTTCTTTTCTTTTCTTTTTTTTTTTTGAGACAGAGTCTTGCTTGTCGCCCTGGCTGGAGTGCAGTGGCACAATCATGGCTCACTGTGGCCTCCGACTCCTACGCTCAAGCCATCCTCCCACTTCAGCCTCTCGAGTAGCTGGGACCACAGATGTGCACCACTATGCCAGGCTAATTTTTGGTAGATGCGATTTCACCATGTTGCCCAGGCTGGTCTCAAACTCCTAGGCTCAAGCAATCCACTCGCCTCAGCCTCTGGGATTACAGGTGTCAGCCACCATGCCTGACCTGAATCTGAATTTCCAACAGGCTCACAGATGAGGCCAGCAGCACTGGTCCAAGGGCCTTGCCCAGGTACACAGTGTTCTCATAACTCTGGCTGCAATGATTACATGTGATGAAGGCAGGCTGGAGCCAAGGTTGTTCACGGGAGAAATTCCAGATGGCCTCTCTGAGGCCAAGGACACTTTCCTCTGTAGATGATGTCCCAAATGCCATTTTATCCACGATAAAATAACTGGTCTGCTGAGTTGAGGGCTATTCCATTAGGTATCCTGAACCTCACATGGAGCATGTGGTGATCTGCAGGGTTCTCACCAGGAGCGTGTGCAAAGCAGGAAGCTCCCAGATTTATTTTGCTGGACAGGCATTTGGAGCCAATGCATGGTCAGTACAGACATCACTGGGTCCTGGCTGATCATGGCTGCTGCTGCAGAGTTTAATTACAACTCACCGGCCGGGCATGGTGGCTCACGTCTGTAATCCCAGCACTTTGGGAGGCTGAGGCGGGTGGATCACCTGAGGTCAGGAGTTCAAGACCAGCCTGGCCAACATGACAAAAACCCCATCTCTACTAAAAATACAAAAATTCGCTGGACGTGGCAGTGCACCTGTAGTTCTAGCCACTTGGGATGCTGAGGCAGGAGAATCGCTTGAGCCTGAGAGGCAGAGGTTACAGTGAGCCAAGATAGCGCCACTGCACTCCTGCCTGGGTGACAGAGCAAGACTCCATATCAAATACACATGCACACATGCACACACACAGAGCTCACTATCTATTTCCCTCCATCAGGACCCACTTACGGCCGTCACCTCAGCCCTGTGGTTTCCTGTGTCCACTGTTTGCTTCCTGTGCACATGTGGAGGACTGTTGACCTTCAGTCCTCCAAAGTCTAAGCCTTCAGCTGTGTATTCACTCCTTTTCAATCATCAACCTTCTATGGCTGTTGCTAAAGCAAGTAAATACAATCAGTCTGGAGGAAGTTCCTTATGCTCCTGATGGGCGCTTCTGAATCTGTGCTACTGAATAACTGGGAGAAGAGCTTCAAAGCCAAACATTACACTCCAAATGTGTACACTTCTGTATATTAGATGCCAAGTGTGTTCTTAAAAATAATACCAAGATAAGTTCAATTAAATTACTAAATTGTTTTGAGTTTCTGAGTTTTATAATGCAAAATCATACACGCAGGTTCATATCCTTCCCTTATAAAAGCAACGAAGAGACTCATCTATCCCTGTCCGAAGCTCTGTCATCATCTAATCTTTCCCAGGAGAGGTGGAAATGTGTCCTTCAGGTGGGCCACGGGTTCCTTCGCCCTCCGGGGTTTGGCTGTCACCAGCAGGAACGCCCCCATCTAGAGGTGCTGACTTCAGGAGAGGACTTTCACTGCCGTTTCTTTGGGAGGTAGCTCACACATAGGTCCTTAACCCTTTCACCCTGGCTTCCTTCCATCCCCACAATGGACAAAGACCAGGAGTTTGCAATCTCGACACTAAGCGATATTTTGCCTGGAGGATTCTTTGCTGTCCAGGGGGTGAGGAAGCTGTCTTGTGCACTGCAGGAGGTTGGGCAGTATCCCCGGTGCCTACCTGGGAGCAGCACCCCCTCCCCACCTGCAACCACCCACACTGTCTCCAGACACTGCCAATTGTCTCTGGGGGTCCAAATTGTCCTGACTGAGAACCACTGGCCTTGACCTACCCAACCGCCCCCAGAAGAACATCAGTGCAAACACAAGTATCTGTTTGGCGGGGAACATCGGAAGGAGGGAAAGAGAGAAACAGAGAAGGGAGAGGAGGAGGGATGATTAGGAAGGAGGACTCATGAAGGGGTAGAAAACTCAGAGAGAGGAGGTGGCAGGAGAGGAACAGGGCAGAAAAGCCATTTGTGAAGGGCGAGGGGGTGAGAGGAGGGGCAGAAACTCAAGAGCAACAGCACTTTCCCTGAGTGGGACAGAGGTGGGGGCAGACCGACAGGGCTTCAAAGAGCACTGGCATTAACCACATCAGTGACTGATTATGTGACGTGGACACGTAGAAATTCACATTTTGACGAATCTCTAACTGTACAAGTTGTACAGTCAGGATACACAGTTTGCAAAACAAAATAAAAACACTATCAATTAAAGGATCAATTTAAAAGACCTTTGGCATAGCCACTGCTGTGTGAGTCCCACCTGGGCGATTCTTAGCACTGAAACCAGCCTGAATTCAAAGCTGGGAGGCAGTGCCAGAGGGAGTGGTCTGGAAAGACATGAGACCACATGAAATGGCAAAGAAAGGAGATGAATGGGAGGGTGAGGAAGAGGAAGGACTGAAGGGACAGCAGAGAAAATTTAACCTGCAGTCCTCCCAGGCTCACTCCAGCCACCCGCAGGACCGTGAAGCCCGCTGGGACAGCACAGACACTTCCGTGCTGCAAACACACCAACCAGGACACTCACTGAACACGAAGTAACATGGAGCACCTTAAACATGACCTGTCACATTCAGGGGACAAGGAAAGGCAAGGTCGTTAATTTCTGCTCTTGGAAGCTTACCATTTATTCAAGAGGATACATCCATAAACCACACAGCCAAGAAGCCCAGAGAAGGTGATCACGAAAGCCTACGCCAAGTGGAACAGGCAGAGCTGTACAGGAGAGTTACGGAAGACAGAGGTCTCTGCAGGCCCTGGGCAAGAGGACAGACCTGGAGGCAACAGCTTGGCCCAGCAGGAAAAGAGTGGAAAGGCGTGAAGACAGACTGGCTCCAGCAGATGGAGGAGCAGGGTCAGACCAGGAGAGCTGGCGACAGAGCTGGTGGGAGCAGAGGGCCCACTGGGGAGGCAGACCCAGGACCTCAGGTTTATCATAGGAAATAAACACAAAGAGAATCCTACTTGAGCTGCACACTCTTCCCGATGGGGATTTGGGCTGCGTGCTGACGACAGGGTTGGAAGCGTGTGTCAGGACCCTCGGGGCGTACTGGGGTAGCGGGGACGGGTAGTGCTGAGCCGGATACACCATGTAGACACTGGGAGCCACAGTGGGCTGTGCGCGATAAGGGTTTTCCGGTTGGTATCCATGGTTTTCATAGTAAGGTCCAACACCTGGCGGTGACCCCTAAACAATTGACAAGAAGATGAATAAGATAAAACTCTTATTTGCACTAAGGGGTAAAATATAAAATATCACATCATCTCACAGCTATACCAATGATCTTTTAAATTGATAATGTTTTTATTTTATTTTGTGAAATATGCATCCTATCTGTATGGCTTACACAGTTAGAGATTAATAACAAAGTGACAAGACATTGAAAAGGCACCGTAGATTCTCCCCAGGTGCCTACAACTGTGTCACATATTGAACTTATTTAGAATAAAAACTAACCAGAACTTTCAATTACCAAAGTTTTTTTGTTTGTTTTGTTTTGTTTTTTACTATTCATTCTTTTTTTCTTACATGTCCATTTATTAAACAGGAGCTCCTTCGTGACAATTTAATACAAAATTTATTAACAATTAAAGCCGATATATACAAAAATACATATTTGTCTGGGTGCAGTGGCTCGTGCCTGTAATCCCAGCACTTTGGGAGGCCAAGGTGGGTGGATCACCCAATGTCAGGAGTTCGAGATCAGCCTGGCCAACATGGTGAAGCCCCATCTCTACTAAAAATACAAAAATAACCAGGCATGGTGGCACCTGCCTGTAGTTCCAGCTACTTGGGAGGCTGAGGTGGGAGAATCACTTGAACCCAGGACGCAGAGGTTGCAGTGAGCAGAGATCATGCCACTACACCCCAGCCTGGGTGACAAGAGCGAAACTCCTTCTCAAAAAAAAAAAAATAATAATACAGATTTGAACGCTATAAAAACAATCAGGACAAGTACCATGAAAAATCTATCCTTCAAAAGAAAGAAAGCGGGAAAATTGAGGTCAATGAGAGGCTTGTCTGCTGTGGGGGCAAATCAACGGCAACAAAGCTCTGGGGCCCCGACCCACTCCAGATGTATGGGCCCAAACCCGAGAGCCACCCAAGCCGGGGAGACCCACTCTAGGGCTTCTGTGTCCATTGAAAAGCCAGACACACAAAGTCAAGTTTGCACAATGGGCTATTTATTCTTTGAAATAATTTTTAAAAAGTGGCAGACCTTGGGATTTAGTAAAAGATAGTAATAATTTTAAAAAGCTGTGTAGAGGTCTGGGGTTAGAATCCATTAAGCCAGTATCCTATACTTTTAATTCCTCCCATCTTCTCCTTGATATTGATATACAAAGTTATGAGCTAGCAGTATCAGAATTAGAATGAGAGAATAACAGCTTAGCATTGGAGAACTCACCGGCCACCAGGCCCCTGTACTTAGAATCTCCTTCAACACCAACCATAACCCCTCCCCTGCCAGCAATACTGGCACTGGCATGAATTAATGCCACCATTTTGCCAGGAAAAGACTGAGTTAAGAAATCTGCCTAAAGGAGCATGCTCTCCGGGTTTGTTACCTGCAAATACCTCTTCCACGTCCCCTTCTCCTATGTAAGGAATGTGTCATCACTTACTCACCATCTCTTATTAATGGACATTTAAGTGGCTCACAGTGGACATTTAAGTGGCTCACAGTTTGGGCTATTTGCAGCTCTGCTGCAATAAACGTCTTTACACAGCACATGCATTTTTGTGCAGAGGATGGAAACGTGTAGCTACGTCCCTTTAAATGAAATTTCTGGATTAGAGTGTGACCATCATCAATGTGAAAGGAACTGCCCGGACATAGCGTTTTAGTCTCTGCTCTATCCTTCAGCTGGTGCCTCTCTTCTTAGAATGCCCATCTCTCCTTCCTCAGCCTACTTCAAAATTGCCTTCCCAAGGCCTGCCCTGTCACTACCCGCCCCGATCAGGCCACTGTGGGCCCCACCAGCTCAGACCTTCCCCTTCTTCCAGCTCTGCCCAGTTGCCTGTTGGCTCGGCCACTCTGGGAGGCCACATTTTTCCTCCTATCTGTATCTAAGGGCTCACATGCAAAACTTTTTCCAACTCATTAATTTCTGCCCCTTATCTCTTATTGAACTCAGAGAATGACAGTGAGCTTGTCCTCATCAGACAGGTGATCTGAGCAGAGGCAGCATAGCCCTTAGAACTACAAATGGGGCCTCCAGGGAAGTTGATTATAACCGGATGAGCCAAACTAGGCTCCCAGAGTTCCCCTTCACTTAATAACTCACTAAAGCTATCTTCAAAAGTCCGAAGATTACAACTCTGAACCAGAACAGCACACAGAGGGAAAACACAAGGTAATCTCTCATCTAAATGAGGGAGCCAGAGGCTGCAATCTCGGTCATCTAAGACCTTACCATCCACCAGCCAGGCTGCAGCAGCAAGGCGGTTTGTCCCTGAAAATTCCTGAGCAGTGGACTTGACATTAAATGCAGACCCAGTAAAAAATGAATATCAGTAACAAATCGAGGGGAAAATACGGTCTATTGTCCAGATATAGAATCTAAGACGTGTTTAAAACTCTTTACTAAATGCATTTATATTCGGTACAAGGCAAATTGATCAGTTACAATGGGAAGCAGAGATTAACCACATTTGTCTCCAAAGGGAATGGGCGCCAGGGAGAAGGTGGCCCGCCAATGCTTCATGCAGTTGTAACTTTTCCCAGTTTCTCAGCTGGGCACCGATGGGACCCCACAGGGGTCTCTTCCCTGGGACATATCCCTGTTATTGCCATCCTGCCTCACCTGTCCCCACACCTCATCCCTGCCCCCTGTCCCACAAAGCAGAAAGTGACGGGGTCAAGGTGAGGATGTACATCACCCACATCTACCTGACAGCCACGGCGTTTGCGACTCACCTGGACAGCTGTGTGGCTGCACCCCTGACTCACTCTTTCTAGAGGATGCCTTGAACAGCATCAGCCTGGCCCACCCTTCCCTACAAATAGCCCTCACAATTACTGACCCACAAACACTGTTGGGAATAACAGAAGGGACAAGGGAACAAAGAAAAGGCCAGGAGGGTAATAATTAACCACTTACTGAGTTCAAAGCCATCCTGATTTTATCAACGGCATCAAGTAATGATAGGTATCTGGAATGTTCAATCTGACCTAGAAGAAAGAATTACAGGACTGTAATATCTCCATACCAGTTAGTTTTTAGAAGATAAATCTGGAAAGAACTAGAAGAATCTCTGGGTGAAGGTTACCTAGAACAAGCAGCAGCATTTCCTGCTGACCGTTGGCCTGCATCTTCACCACATACTTCCATATTTAAGGACTTTGGGACCCACTCATACCTCAGAGGTTACAGCAGAGGCACTCTCCTCTGGGATCAGAGTGGGCAGGAGGATGGGGTGCAATTGTAAGTGCTTCGGCCAGGACAGCCTGACCAGAGAGAAGAAGGAGCAGACTCAATGGCTCAGACATCCATCGAGAAGGGCTCTCAGGGGACAGCCTGGGGCTTGTGGCCACTCACACCTCCACTGCCATCAAGCCCAGGCATCCTGCTGGACTTAACCTGGTTCTCGCCAGGCATCTGGGGTCTCCCCTTTACAGAACATCTCCCCAAGGGAGACTCCATGGGATAAAACCACTGAAGAAATGACAAGGTAACCAAACCCATCAAAGTCGGCAGAGGTTAAGGACAGGATGGGCCCAGGAGGCAAAGACCTGGGCCAGTTCCTGGCAGGACAGCTCCCTGGAAGTGCCAATGGGTGAGTTACTGAACCTTGCTGAAATATCAGGGTCCTCATGGGAAAACAGATAGAGCAATCACCACTGTTCTGTTAAGCTGAGGGTTCCAGGAGAGTGCAGAAGGAGTGCCTCACGGTGCCAGGAACTGAGAAGCAGCAGGTGCAACCACAGCAGGTGCAATCAGACCGTCTCTCCCCAAACGTCCACAGGCACTGCCGGGAGCCCCACCCTCCCAGCAGGTGGTCCAGAGCTCAGCGCGGGATATATATAGCTCACAGTTGACTTTTTTAAGTAGGCCATGTGGGCCCTCCCAATTTTTAATAGATACATATATTTAAAAATTCATAAAACACCTCAACGACCACTCCATTTACTACCCCAAACCCAAAAAAGAAAGAAATTCAGAGCCAGCCATTTTGACCATTTCTCAGATTAGCAGTAATGAAAAGAAAGCTGTGAGCCATTTCGTTTGTTGCCATTTGTGAACGATTACCAATAACAGCTAGAGATGCCAAGAACGTGAAGTGCTTTATAGTAAAGCCGCATTCTGACATCACTCCCCATGGACAAAGGTTCTTTGCTTGATCAAGCTTAGGCTCCTGAAGCTTCTAGGCCATCTATGCATTTCCTTGTAAAATCCAGTTTTAACAAAAAAACTTGCTCAGTCAGTTTAGCCAGAACCTCCCACCCTCGGTATCTGATTACTTCTAATACCTGATCGGGTTCCTTAGCCTCCACCGTGCCACCGGTGATGTCTGATCGCCCAGCCTGTCTTCAGTAAGAATCCTATTCAGTTGGTTTAGCCAGAATCCCCCTTACCCTTGATGTTTTCTCTAAGTGATTTTTCTACCCACACCAACCCCACCCTGAGCCTTGGCTATAAATTAACTCCCACTTGCCCATGCTGTACTCAAGTGGATACCAATCTCTCTCTCCCACTGCAGAATCTGCTGGCTTTGGTCCCTGTACCTGTCTCCATGGTCCTGAATAAACTCTGCCTCACCATCTTTAGCAAGTGTGATTGAATGATTTTTTTTTCTTTGACACGCACTTCGTGAGCTAATAAAGGGTTTTTTTCCGCCCCTTCTCGCTTGGCTTTAAATGACCAAAGAATATTCTAAGAAACGGTGTTCAAGATTATCCATCCACGAGATCACATTCCCAATGAGGGAACAAGAGCTTAGAGGAGGCTTTGGGCTTTGGGGCGTGCCTGTGACACGCCCAGAGAAGAATATTTCCCATCTGCTGGTACACAGCAGGTGCTCAAAGCGCAGCAGACACCACTGGGCAGGGGTTCAGCCCCTGACCTCTGTGAATAGGCTCTGGATCCAAACCCAGGCTCAGCCACGCCCTATCCATGACCTGGAGGAAGCTATCCAGTCTTCTGTGCCTCAGTTTCCCCATTTGCAAATGCAGAAAATAGGAACACCTACCTCCAGGGCATTAAATGAGTTAATCCTAATGAAGTGCTTTGTGCCTAGCATCGAACGAGTGGTACATAAATTTTCATTAAATGAGGGGCATTATAAAGCTGATGCACATTTAACAACCTCCTGAAGGAAAAGAGGTCCGTCTTGTGACATTTGCAAATTTGCATTCAGTAAGCTCCCAGGCGACCAGCATGAAGCCCACCACGGAGCCATGGGCCAACATCAGCACTGCTCTCCCATGTCCTCAGTGCAACTAGCTCCTGAATCATTACACTGAAAAACCCCAGCAACTTGGCATGAATGAGAGTGAGTATGGCTTTTTACTCCTGAGAAACCTCACCAAACGGGTTGCAACAAACACGCACACGTCATTTATTTACTCTTCATGCACAGATAAAAATATAAGAATCAGGTCATGTCGTAGCTTTGAGATGTTTTTTAGGATTAAAACTAAAGTTCACACCTTCCTGGGTATGAGGAAAGAAAAGTGACTAATATCCAGGTGGGAAAGATCACCATTTAAAATGTATCGAAAACACTTAAGCCTTTTAGTCACATCACATAATAGACCTTGCCTACGTCTGCTTTGTGAACACAGAGGATCCTCAGGCCTGACCAACACAATAAATCCCGCATTCTTGTCTCATAAGCAGGAAAGAACTCAGTACCATCCTAAGATTGCATTCAAAGAGTCCTGCCTAACCAAACACATTCTCACGCCTCTGGTTTCTCAGCTCTCCTATCTCCCCAGTTATAGGTTTGGTTGAAGTTTCAGGAAGTGAAAATTCGATCCCATTGGCGGCTCTCCCAGCTCAGAAGCCTTATGAAAGGAATAATGAATCAATGCTCAAAACCCACATTTGCTATTCATTCACAATCCCTAACAAGGAAGCCAGGGAAGGAACACCGGGAGCCACTGCTGTGAATTGTCAAATAAAAGCCACGGGACCCAGAGGCAGCCCCAGGATAATCCTATCTCTCCAGCAACCCCGAAACCCACAGAACATGATAAACAAAAATATTAAGTGTGCCCAAATCAGCTACCATGGACTTTGGAATGGAAGACCAATCACATTCTCCAGCCGAGCCAGGTACAGTGGCTCAACGCCTGTAATCCCAGCACTTTGGGAGGCCAAGGCAAGCAGATCGCCTGAGGTCTGGAGTTCAAGACCAGTCTGGCAAACATGGTGAAACCACGTCTCTACTAAAATTACAAACATTAGGGCTGGGTGTGGCGGCAGTTGCGTGTAGTCCCAGCTCCTTGGGAGGCTGAGGCAGGAGAATCACTTGAGCCTGGGAGGCAGAGGTTGCAGTGAGCCGAGATCAGGCCACTGCACTCCAGCCTGGGTGACAGAGAGAGACTCCATCTCAAAACAGAAAGAAAAAAAAAAAAACAAAAAAAAACACTATTCTCCAGGTGAGAAGAAAAGAAGGCAGGAAATACCCCTTCCTGGCATTAGATCTGAAAGGGGAAGCACAACTGTCCCCAAGAGACCAGGACATCACACTCAGTCCTGTTCATCTTCAAAACAGGCCTTTCCTCACCCTGACAAGCTTGTACATCTTGTTAACTGGTCTCTGAAAGGAGCAAGAGGAGGAGCATCAAGAGGAGGAGAGGAGGAGAGACAGCGCTGTGCAGCAAAGGTTCTCTCCTGTCATTCAAACCAGGTTGATGGTTCTCAGTTCCGGAAAGCCAGCCACCATGAGCACTTTGGGAAATTTTCCTTTAAGTGCAGAAGCACAACAGTGGGTGGCACTCAGGCCCCACTCCTGGCTGGCAGGGAGCACTTTCTTCAATACAGTGTCAGTCACTTGAACCTCACGATGGCACGCAGCTGTTCTCGTGCTGTTTTGGTCCCTCCTGGACTGACAGCTGAGTCAGCCCATGAGTCACCTGCCTGGCCACCACACAGCAGGACGATGCTGTGGCATCATATCAGCATCTCCTGACATGACAAAGTTACTGCCAAAACAAGAATCGTTCCTCCTGGCTTCTCTCCTCTGGAGATCTCAGGACACGTTTGCCGGAGACTTACTTCCCAAACAACCACGCCAACGCGAATGAAGTCAGGCTCATAGACACTGACTCCCACCCACCCTCTTCAATGAAGAGAATACACTGACTCCACCGCCCACCACCATGCCCAGACCTGCTCCTTCTCAAATCCCCCATGTGTTACCGGTACTATTCGAGGTGCTGGAAGTGTGAGAGGAAACAGGCCAGGCTCAAACCCAGCACCTCTTCTTCAAACTCCTGACAACACTACCACCATCCACCGTCACGTCCCAGTCAATGACCAAATGATCAAAAAGAGCCCCTTACGCCAACATAACCACACCAACATCACATTACACAATGAGATGTTCTGTTCTTTTAAGGAAAGAAACACGACTGAATGAAAGTTAGCCGACAGTGGATTTACGTGGCAGTTCAGCAGACACTCATTTATATATAATCAGGTAAATTACACACACAATGATTGGCACAAGGGTTCTCCTGAGAGAGAGAGGTTCAGTGAGAAGCAGAGAGATCACCTCGGGAGAGGATTGCCTGCAGCATCCAAGTTTCCTTTTCTGTGAATGACTCATTGTCCCCAAGAGATTACAAACTTTTTAGGGCAGAAATCAGGTCTGGTTCTCTCTCTCTCTCTCTCTCTCTCTCTCTCTCTCTCTCTCTCTCTGTTTTCTAAATCTAGCTTTGTAGCTTACAAAGACAGTATTTAAATGTTTTTCGAGTTCCTACCGCCCGCCCAAATCTATTGTGTTTTTTTTATTTTATATATCAACAGCAGATCATTGGAAACAGAAATTTGAAATAAAATACAATTCACGGAAAAAAATTTTTTTTTTTTTTTTAGTTCCACAGGCCAAATGAGCAAGATGAAATTTAGCAGAGAGAGATGAGATTCCCATACCTAGGCAACAGCAGCACCCCAAGTCAGGACAGTGAGTGACCTCCCAAAGTCCAAGTGCACAAAGCTGAGTGCAGCCCGACATGACAGGCAGGCAGCAGCAGAGGCCCCCAGGTCACTCCAGGAGGAGACTTCAACACTACACACAAGCCACTGGCTAAGCTGTAAGAACTTGTCCAAGTCAATCTGTAAAATGGGGGCGAAACAGAGGCAGGGTTGTCGCAGGGACCCTGAGTGAGAAAATAAGCCCCCAGCTCAGTGCCCAACCCATGACCAGCACTCAATAATATAATGATGGCAGATAAGATTTATCTTCCAACACCTAAGAGCCGGCTATGTGGAAAAGGAATTCAATTTATTCTGCGTACATTCAAAGGACAATACCAGGGTCACGGTCAGAATTGTCAGAAGGGCAGGCTTGGATTCCAACTGGGGAAAGCAAGCTTCCAACAATGAAAAAGTTCAAATACGGCCTGGAGCTACCTTAGAAAGTACCACATTCCTCAAATCTAAAAACGTGTGTTTCAAGACTGGAAGATCATTTCCCCAACGTATTCCCAAACAGAGTCAGGCTTGAGCATCGAGATCAGACATGGTGATCTTTCAACACTGCTCCCAACTCCTTATAAATGCATCATCAACAGTGAACTTGAAAATGTCAGTGAATTCTCTGTCATCAGAATCTCGCAGAAAGAACTTCAAACCCATCGTCCCTAGAAAGCACGGTCTCCCGTGCCCCCTGGGCTGTGCTGCAGTGAGGTCAGGCTGAGTGCCCTGCCAGCACAGCCCCTTGGAAAGCGATGGCCTTAAAGGGAATTTGACACTGCACTGTGAACCTTGTACAAACAAGCAATCATAAAAAGCCTCAGCTTAGCTCCAGCTGCCAAGTCAGACCTCGCTTGAAAGTATTTTTCTAACAAATCCCATCATCACAGCCTCCCTTCTGAGTACCACTTGAGAGCCCCAATTTTTCCGCCCAGTCTGCCCTTGAGCAAACTTCCAGACTTCAGCTGCCATGACCACAAACCAAGGTGCCCTTCAAACACTTCCTGCTTTCTTATCACAAGTCTGTGCCCTCAACCCCTCCTTCCATGGATGCCTGATGGCTCAGCACTGTCCACATACAGATGTCCGTGCCCTCGCCTCCTTCTCCCAACCTCACCTCCAGGAGGATGAAAAGCATGTCTTTGAGTTGCCTGCCTTCTCAAACTCCACTCCGTTTACAGCAAAAGTAACTCCCCACGCCCCTGGCGGAAAATCAGCCTTGACTCCCAACCAGCACGTCTTCCATGCATTCAGTTCCTCTCTCCTGACCACTGCTCAGCCACCAGGAATAATCAAGTCCCAGGTCAGGCTCTGCCTTTTCCTGGAGCCCAGCCTCTGTTCTAGGTCATCCTGAATAGCTGCCTGTGTGCTCAACCAAGCTGCTACCCTGCCGCAGGTCCCCCTTTTGCTCCTCTCTAGGTGTCCACAGGCTAGGTGGGGCCAGGATGGTCAGTGGCCATGGGGACATCATAAGCCCCTCCTTCACACCCAGGCCCATACCCCTGCTGCTTGCAAGTCAGGGCTTCCCAAATCAGCCTTAGGACCAGAAGGCACCCCACAAAGGCTGACCCCATACAGACCTCAGCTCTCAGGTACATAATGCTCCTACACCCTAATCCTGAGGCCACCCAAGGCATCCAGTATTGGGGATCCCCTGGCAGGTGTCCTGGAAAGTAAGAAGGGGCCAGGAAGAGCAGCAAAGGCCTGGCAACTGTGGGATGAGGGATATCCAGGAAGAGCAGAGCAGGAGGGATCAGAGAGCAGAAAAGCACCTGCACTTTCAGTGACCCTGGGCTCTCTGGCTTCCTGTAGGGAGCTCTCTCTGGCCTCACTCTCCCCACTAGCAAGGCCACTTTCCAAGTCTTCAGCAAGCAAAACTGAACAATCACTCCACTGAACACTTACCTTTCCTTTCTGCCTCAGTGCCCAAGGCTTAGTTCTGATCAGTGCTTCCCAAACCCAGAATTTTCAAGAGGGCGTAGAAAATAATCATGGTAATAAGATGCCTGGGCCCCATTCTCAGAGTCGAATGCAGCAACAGGAACCAAGGCAATGACCCATATTATTACAAATCTCCCCTCGGGAATCCTGCCACAGGTTCAGGTGGAAAAGGCTAAGACTTTTACCAGCCAGACTTCTGGTTTACACTTCCTGGTAGGGCCCTCACCTTAGGCTGGGCCCAGAGTAGGGGACAACACACTCATATGATGGTGGTGATGGTGGTGGTGGTGGTGGTGGTTACTGGCATGATGTACTGCATGCATCTACCTTGTCACCTACAGGACATTTGCACCAGCGTCTTGTCACTCAATGCCCCCATGGCCCAGGAGGTCAGCCCTCCACAGTCCCCCTTTTGGAGTTCCGAGCCCTCTGGCCTTGTCATACTGCTAGAGGGGGAGCCCAGGTGGGGCTGTGGGCAGGGGCTGGGCTCTATCAGGTCGGGGAGAATCAGAGCCTGGCCCAGGAACAAGCCCTTTCCAGTCAGGATTCCAGGCACCTGGTTTTCAGCTTCCTTCCCTCCTTTCTTTCACTTGCTGGCAACATTCCGACCTCCCGAAGGGAGGACCCAGGGAAGGAGCAAAAGGAATCTATACTGTGCTGATGGTCACCAAAGTCCCTTTTAAGCATCCTGTGTCTCCAACCCAGAACCCGACACTGGAAGCACTGACCTATGGAGCCAGACAGGCCATGTTTATCCCCAGTCCTGCCCCTTACAGGTTACAAGACCTTAGACAAGCTACCCAACCTCTCTTCCCATGTCCTTACAATTGAGTTAAGTATGTTATAAAGGGTTTCCAATGATGCCTGGCTGAAAAAACAAAGTGCCACATCAACATCTGTGGTAATTATTATAACAAAAGTGCAGCCAGATGTACTCCTATGATTAAGGTGACTTAGTTGAAGATAGAGTGGCCAACGGTGATAGGCGGATCATCGCAACCTGGGAGGCTCTGCCCACAGCTACAGCAGCCTCACAAGCTTGCTGTTAGAAGGTTGTCCTTGGTGGGTGTGAATAAGGGCAATTGCTGGGGACCAAGCATATGTCCAAGCAGAGACCAAAGGCCCAGCCAGCTCACCAGTTGATAATTAAAAGTGACCAGAGGCCAAGGTAGACACCTGTCTCCAGGCAGAGGTCTCAGTGCACAGGAGGCACCCCCCACAACTCTCCAGCCTACTGCGTTCTTACTCGAGGGTGTTACCAGGTTTCATTCTAACCTCATCTGTCCAGTAGTTCTGCAGGGGGAGTGGGGCAGATCCCACTTCTTCAAAAGAACTCAGTAAAGGTGGAGAAGTTGAAAGCAACCTCCAGTGACTTCCTGGAGGAGCTCCTGGCTACCTGACCCACCAGGCCCTCCCTTCACAGCAGCAGCTAAGGAGCCAGGACTGACTTAGCTCCCCATGTCCCCAAGTCCCTTTACCCTGGAAAACTCTCCTTGCCACACTCCCAGCCCCCAGCCTTCCTGCAAGGGAGGCTGGCTCCATCCCCGCTTCCTGGAGTGCCTTCCCAGACCTCCCGGGCAGGTTAACAGCTCTAGTCTCACTTTAGGTTTTCCAAACACCTTGTAACTGGGCTGCCTAGTTTTGGTAATTTTCCATTATTTGGGGGGTCCTCGTGGCTGGGAGCTCCATGAGGTCAGGCACCGCCTAGGGCGCGAATATGCTCATCTTCCCCACGGGACCACAGCACAGGTTTGCACGGAGGGGAGGGCTGCGCAGCCTCAAAGCTGAACCCTGGGTGCCCCCTGCTCACCAGGCGCACCTCGGGCCGCCCTGCTATCCTTTCTTTCCCAAACAAGTCACCAGGATTCCTCGTGACCAGGCCTGCCACCTGGGCGTTCTGAACAGGATTGGGGCCACTGCGCTGTGTCCTGAGGCGGCGGGGCTGGCAGGGCTCTTGACGCACAAACTTTCTGGCCATCGGGCAGTTTTTCAGTTGGGCCTGTGCTCGAGCAAAGCGCCCACTGCCAGGCTGGAGCACTTGACCCCTCAGGATGCCACTGTCCCGAGCCCGGCTGGACAGGATGAGGTGAACCGAAGCACCCAGGTGCCGGGCCTTCCCCCGCAACCAGACAAGGAGCGCAAGCCCAGCGGCCAGACCCGCTCCTCCCGGATGGGTTCCTGCGGGTGCCGGGTGCCCAGGCGGCCCTGGCCCTGATCGCCGCCAGCGGGTCCCCGCCACGGGGCCTGAGTCTCGAGCAGTCACTCCCCGGGACTGACGGGCCGTCCGCGCCTCGCCCGGGGGCCCTCGCGTAGCCTGGCCCCCGCGGTCCCCGCCGCGCCGTCCGTATCGTTCCCGGCATCTCAGCGAGTTTCCAGTTTCTCTCTACCTCAGTAGGGAACCAAGAAGCAAAAGGAGTTCAGGTAACACTGCGGAACTGCAGAGATTTTCCCCAAACAAAGAAGCTGACCGACAGTGCTCCGGGTCCTCGCCCCAAAGAGCAAAGACGCAACGGTCCTCCCAGGTGGGGGCTGCAGAGGGCAGGCGGACCAGGAGCCCGCTCCAGACGACCTCGCCCCGAGGGACCCCGGGGGCCCTCTTCCACCAACAGGGGCACCCAGGGGTGCCGGCCGCGTGCCAGAGGTTCCAGGCGCCCAGAACTCTCCCAACACCCCCGGAGGCACCCTGCCCGGCTTGCCCCAGCGCTCCGCCCTCCAGCGCACTCACCTGCTGCGCCGCGCTCCCCACAGCCGCTTTCACCTCCGGGCGGGGGCGGGGGCGGGGGCGGGGGCAGGGGCCCCGGTGGGTCCCAGGCTCCCGAGTTCCCCTGCCCAGCCCGACCCCGCGCAGGGACCCCGGCACGCGCGCAGCTCACCTGCCGCGCTCCCGGCGGCGCTCCCCACCCTCGCCTTCCTTCTCCGCCTCCTGCTTGGCTTGCTCCTTCTCGGCCCGGCGCCCGGTCTCCGACCTGCCCAGGCTCTCGCTTAAATCTCAGGAGGCGGCGTCCCAGGGCCCAGGGCGACACCCCCAAGCGCGGGTCCTGGGTCACCCCGGGCGGGCGGGGGCGGGCGCGGCGGGAGGAGGCGTTTCCTGGGGAAATCCCGGGACTTGCTCCAGGCCCGGCCCAACCCCCAGGTGCGACTCTGGGGCACTTCCCGGGCCAGCTCAGCGGCCAGCCTGCCCCTCTCGGGTCCAGGGCGCAGCTCTGCCCGAGGGCTCGAGTTTGGGTTAAGAAGGAGGATTCCTGGGAGCGCTCCTCGAGTCCTGGGTGAGCCCCCGGAGCTGCCACTTCACGAGCTCCTGCAGGCTGCCAGTCGTGGCCTCAGGGGAACCACTGTGGCCTCTGAGCAAGGACCCAGGGGTCGGCCTTTTGGAGCCGCTGACCCGAGCACGAGTGGTGGGGACGCAGCGCCGGGCGCCAAAGACCCTTCCCAGTCCTCCTAGACTGGCCTTTCTTGGCCCCCGCCAGCGTCCCGTGGAAAGGGGTCCCCAGGAGGTCCCAGATCTCCCTGCACGACTGGCCAGAGTGGGAGTGAGGAATCGTGGGATACACCTCAGCCCGAAGACTTGGCTGTTCGCGGGCGCTTCAGACGTTCTTTCCAGTGTCTGCAACTGTGGGGGCTCGGAATTCACCGGAATTTAATAGGACCAGAGGAGACCAGAATTCGCGACCCCAAGTAGGCCTGGAGGAGCCCAGAATCCGCCACCTCCAAACAGCCCTCTCTGGCATATTGATGATTTGGAACTGGTTATGTAGAGAAACTGCAGGCACAGGGTTACCTCTGAGAAACCACTTTTGTAAAGGAAATTTGCACCTATAAAGGACATGGTCGTTAGTCAACGTATCTGAACCAGGAAGAGAGCCGTTCCTGGACACTTTTATCACTTGGGAAATTTTTATCTACCTCCCACGGCAACCTGTGTCACCAGACACCTCCCCTCACTCTCCCCGCACTCCTCAGTAGCTCCCCAGAAGCCTCAAACCCCCATTCCTTTCTGTCACTCAAAGTAACACATGAGCCTCAATGATCTGGCTACTGTTCCTTTTCTTTTTTCAGAAGGAGTCTCACTTTGTTGTCCAAGCTGGAGCGCAGTGGCTCATGATGGCTTATCGCGGGTTTGCCCTCCCAGGCACGGGTAATCCTCCTCCTCACTCTCCCCAGCAGCTGGGACTCCACGCCCAGCTAATTTAATTTTTTGTAGAGATGGGAGTCTCCCTATGTTGCCCAGGCTGGTCTCTAACCTCTGGGCTCAAGCGATGGCTGCCTTGGCCTCTCAAAGTGCTGGGATTACAGGTGTGAGCCCCCTCACTAGACACCTCACTCATCTAAGTCTCATATTCTTGTGGGATTCCCGTCTGTGAGCACGCACATTAAAACAGCTTGTCTCCTGTTCATCTGTTTGATATCAATTTAATTTGTAACTGAAGAATCTAGAAGGGTAGAGGGGCAGCGTGTTTTCTCCTCCCCTGCATAACATACAAATCAACAGGATTTGCTTTAAAATGAGGTGGAAGCAGAAGAAAGCCCCATTCGGTCCCATCCCAGGCTGCCTCGGCACAGTGCCCCCTTCCTGGGAAGCTCTCCCGGAGCTTCCTGACTGATAGGACTTTCCGAGTAAGGCCTTCCCTCCCACCCCCTCTTTTGGCTCCTTTTGAGGTTTGCTGGTAGCCCCAGCGCTCTCCATCCCCTACACTGCCCTGCCCTCCAGCCCCAGTGGGAGACCCGGAAAGACCCTCCCAGCACACAGGTCGGGACTGGTCTTTCTTGGTGGCAACCCGCTTATTTCTGCTTTGACAGTGTGTTTGATGCCTACTAATTCCACCCAGAAACCAGGGAGTATATGCGGCTGTAGACTCAGCCCTCTTGTAGTGGCTGTTCATTCACCATTTCTTTTTCCTTTTATATTAATAATCAGGGTTCCCCAGAGAAACAGAAACAATAGGAGATATGCAAATATATACACACATATATATATGTGCACATGCATGTATGTACACACATCTAGATTTCTATATATTTATAAATATTATAAACATATTACATATAAATATTTATACATAAATAATATATACATAAACATGCATATTTATATGCATAATATAATACAGATAGGATATATATTATATATAATTTATATGTAATAAACAATATTTATCATATATAAAGATTTATGAAAAATTGGCTCATACAATTATGGAGACCTAGAAGCTCTACAATCTGCCATCTACAGACTAGAGACCCAGGAAAGCTGGTGTTGTAGCTTTCAAAGTCCTGAGAACCAGAGAGCTAGAGAATTGATGGAACAGATTCCAGTCCAGGTCTGAAGGCCTGAGAAGCAGGCATGCTGAGGGCGGGAGAGGATCAAAGTCCAGCTCACACAGTCAGGCAGAGAGCAAATTCAACCTTCCTCTTCTTTGTTCTATTCAGGCTTTCAACAGATTGCCCAAATTGAGGGCGATCATCGTTACAGTCTGTCTATTCAAACATTAATCTCTTCCAAAAACACCCTCACACACACCCAGAAGTAATGTTTAACCAGTTACCTGGGCATTCCATGGCCAAGTCAGCTTGACACATAAAATTAACCAAGGCTGGGTGCACTGGCTCCCACCTGTAATCTCAGCACTTAGAAGACCGAGGTGGGAGGATCTCTAGAGCCCAGGAGTTTGAGACTAGCCTGGAGAACATAGCAAGATCTTGTCTCTACAAAAGGTTTTTTAAAAATTAGCCAAGTGTGGTGGTGCGCACCTGTAGCCCCAGCTAATTGGGAGGCTCAAGTGAGAGGATCAGTTGAGCGCAGGAGTTTGAGGCTGTAGTGAACTTTGATTGTGCCACCGCACTCCAGCCTGGACGACAGAATGAGACCTTAATTTTATCTGTGTGAAAAAAAAAATATATATATATATAGCATAAGTTGACCCCTTGTCAACTTTGCACCCACACATCTCCTTGTACCACGCTTCATCTCTAAAGACACTAGCAAAGTAATAACCTGCCTATTGTGATACAACTCTTCTGCTACAACCAAAAAATGCACTAAGCCCTTCCCCAAAAGTGGATGTAAAATTCTCAAGTGTTTACACTTCTCCTTGGTATTTCATAACCTAAATAATGTAAAATTGACAATACTTAATACAATGATATAGTCAATAAACCTTAAATTATATAACGGAATGTAAGAGAAAATAAAACAAAGATATATACTGTATATACAAACATGTGCACAAAGGTATTCAGAAAAAAGTAATGAGAAAATACTTGTGACTACTGAAGCCTTGAAAACAGCTTCCATGGGCAGTCGCTGGTGTTGGTAACTGTCTTCTTCCACTGCATTCCCTCTGCCTTCGGTAAGCATGGCAGCTGGTCATGGTTCTTAGCCTGATGGACTGACCCTTCATCCCTCAAGGGTCTGGGCCATTAGTAACCCTGCCTGGATAGTGCTGTAGTTTTCCATTGACCTTAAACACAAGCATAGTAACACTAAAAGTTGCCCTAGGGAATTGCTGTATTCCAGACACACTCTTCCTTACCTTCCTGGTGGTGGAGTAGTAGTCTAGTTTCTCCTTGGTAGTCCAGATCAGTCTCCCCAGCAAATACCATAACTCTCTCTTTGCCTGTTGATTCAGAGGCTTGTGGAGCTCGAAGTGGCCAGGTGGCAGTCATAAATTCTAGTTTAATGGAATCACTGTTGTGTCTCCTGGTGGCAGCATTCCTCCCTCTGGAACTAAGACCTCTAGGTCAGCAGAGTGTAAAGTCACAGAAACAGGAAGCAAAATTGTTGTGAGTGGGTCACTGGGAGGAATAGTGCGTGGTGCCACTCCCATTTCTACCCCTTGATTCCTGCACCTGTGGATCCTGGCTGTGGGAGAAACAGCACCACATATTGGGTGCTGATTCAGAGCACATGCAGCCTTCTGGAGAAACTTGCCCCAGCCTGCAAAGCGTTAATCACCTAGCTGGCACTATCACTGCATCTTCAAAAGGCTATTCCACCATTCTATCAAATCAACTGCTTCAGGGTGGTAGGAAACACGGGAAGATCAGTCGATTCCATGAAAATAAGCCTATTGCCATGCTTCCTTGGGAAGTCAGTTATTTGGTCAAAAACAATGTTGTGTGGAATTGGAATTGGAATTGGAATCCACCGTGATGGTGGATAAAGCATTCTGTGAATTCCAGCAGAAGCACTATGTGCAGAGAAGACAAATCTGTATCCAGACTCTCTATTCCAGTAAGGACAAAACGCTGTCCCTCCTGCGATGAAAATGGTCCAATGTAAGGTTCTCCAGGGTGATCAGGCAGCCAGGTGCCTGCCTGATCACCCTGGAGAACTGTGCCATATCAGAGCCTTGGTGCTGGTCTCTGCTGCTGGCAGGTGGTCACTCAGTTGTGGCTATACCAGTTCGGCCTTGGTCAGTGGGAGCCCCTGTTGCTGAGCCCATGCACAATCTCCATTCCTGCCACGGAGGCCACTTTGTCCATGAGCCCATTGGGTGATAAGAGGAGTGGCTGGGGAAAGGCTGACTGGTATCTGCAGAATGGGTCATCCTATCCACTTGATTTTTTTTTTCAGACAGAGTCTCATTCTGTTGCCCAGGCTGGAGTGCAATGGCACCATCTTGGCTCACTCACAAGCAGGTGTACTGCTGTAAGTTATACCCACTGAGAAGATTTCCCTTTGCCACAATCCTTCAGGGGTGTCTCAGAAAGAGGCTGTCATGCTGCAGCTGTGCACTGCTGGGTGATGCCTGCATTTGGTGCAGAATCATCTGTAAGCCAGGCCTGGGTTTTCTCTTCCTCTGTAACCTGATCATAGGGAACTTCCATGTGGCGAGGGTGCAAACTGGGGGAGAGAAGGCAGTGTAGCAGGAGTGGAGACCCTGAACATTGGGTCACTTCTTTATACAGTCTGCTTAACCTTTCAGGACCTGATCAGGCCTGACCACATACAGACCACTTCCATTTGATGATGGAGCGCAGCTGTGCATCCTCAGAT